ATATTGCCTGCTGCCAGTGCAAGCGGGCAGAATAAGTCCCCAGTGCAGCTCTGGCGCAGGAGGACACCTTCAGCAGTGACCCATGGGCTGGCAAACACATGCAGGAGTAGCACCTGGCAGTGAAGACGTGTACACCTTCAATGATGTTCACAGCAGCAACAGTAGTCAGTCTCAGCAGGGCCCTTTCTGCTACAAAATCAAGTGCTAAAATGTCCATGTCCTTTGTGTGCAGGGCAGTGTGAATTGTGCTGGATTTACAGTAAAAGACAGTCTCTCTCCATTGAAACTGATTTCTCCAGCTCCACACAAAGCCAGAATACTGGCAGGCAGAGATTATTGCTCTTCTCACTTTCTTTCTCCTTTTGCACAGGTATTGGGGGTCCCAGCTGAGGACACCTGGCCAGGACTTTCCAAGCTCCCCAACTATAACCCAGGTAGGATTTAACTCACAAGAATACCAACTTTATCTCTGAGCCACTCACTAGACACTCAATTTTTGGGTCAGTAATTGCCATCAGGAAAAATCCTGTGCTTCTGTGTTACTAAGTCCTTGAGCTAATTTATGATAGTGGTGTTGTAGGGCCTGCAACAACACTGGGGTTGGCCTAGTATACAAGCAAAGGTACATGTGTGGCAAAGTTGCCTCACTGAGCGCTGGGTGTATCTTAGGCTGATGGAAGATTGCATTGGTGCAAGTGCTGACAGTGTTGGTAGTCTTCACTCCTCAGTGCAAGGACCAATGTCTCCTGGTATAGATTGAGAAAACTAACAGGTACCTGGAGACACAGTTTATCTGAACCCTCCTTATTTTTATGTAGATTGATTTGGGGGCCTTTAAACCTCGGTTTTAAAGGTCACTGTCCCTGATTTTGATGTGGGCAAGGTGAGAAATCTGTGTGATTTATAAAGCTGGCTTCTTTTATTTCCACATGGGCTGGTAGAGAAGTCTGTGTCCTGGACTTCAAAGGGCCAGTTGTCTCTTATTTTGATGTGGGCAGGTTGAGAAGTATGCTTTGAAAAGCTAGCTGTCTCTCTCCCTTTCTCTCTCCTCTCCCTCTCTCTCTCCCTTTCTCTCTTTCTCTTTTTGTTTAATGTTTTCTCTTGGGAAAATATATTCAAGTGTCAGTGAGGGGGAAATGATGAGCACTGATTCTCAGTCTCTCAGCAGGATCATTCTGCAAGAGAAATATAAAAGTGAAATATTAAAAACCCTAGAATGTGAAATCCACCCATCTACAATCTAGCCATTCTCTCTCACTCGTACCCTAAGAGAATGGTGGGGGGAGCCTGTCTATCTGGAGGCGGGGGGTAAAATGAGGAGGGGAAAATGTGCTTTGAGCAAGAGGTTTACAGGTTTAGTAGAGCATAGTAACATCTTTTCAAAGAAGTGGGTGTTGCTCTGTGACCCAGTCCAAGATGCCCCTCCTTTGATTCTGGTGCATGAACACTAAACAGCCCCCCATTTTCACATGGTAGCCACGATTGGCTGAACAATAACCTGGTCTCACAGTCGAAAGGAGTGGAATCTTTCACACAATTAGCTGAGACACATTAATCAAACCAGCGTGAAATGGGAATGTGTCGCTGTCCACAGCAAGTTTAATTTGGACAAGGAGCAAGCACAGAGCAGACAGCTGGAGGAAGCACTTTCTCCTCTAAGTTGTTGAAGGCTTGGCTGGGTATAGTCTACAAGTTGGGAAGGGTAGTCTGGAAGGGAAGAATTGCTCATGTGTGGGACAAAACGATCACAAAGAATTTTTTCTATGCTAGTCATCTGCTCATACTAGGCCAAAAGCTCTCAGCAATGATGCTTAACTATCCCAATGCTATATAGAGGGACAATCTAAAAGCATTAAGGCTATGCTAGCAAAGAAACTAATACAAACAGAGAATGTGTAAGTGCCCAGAGCTGCCCTGAGCGGTGACTCCTGCTTAGCTCTATTTTGTCTGAATAGCAGTGCTGGCTGCTGTTGTGGAGGGTGCCAGCGGTAGGGCTGGGAGGGAGAGGACAGGCACCTAGGCAGCATGGAAACAGCTCCAGTAAAGACAAGTCTAGTCATTTTAAGCATTTTTTGAATCTGAGTTGTTTTCAAACTTGGTAGAAAGTTTCCCTAATGGACTCCAGCAGGGCAGAACTGACCCGTACTGTGCTGTGAACCTGTGATGCCGGTGCCTTGTTGTGACTGGAACAGACAGAAATGCAAGAGTCAGAGGACACCTTCCTGTGGGAATATCCCACCATGCTAGCAAACACATGGGAAAGGGGTGCTGAGCCAGTGTTTTGGGCAGTAGGTGTACCAGCTGGAGAGGCAACATCCCTTTCCCCTCCTCAGAGCCTGCCTAAGGGGCTCCGAGCTGCTCCAGCCACATACTGGAACCAAGCACTTGGCTCACACCTGGATTATACAAACCAGCCTGGACAGAAGAAGGTTAGTCATACAAAGTTGGTCTATTTGCCCTGGTCGTGAACTAAATCGAGACAGTTTTTGATGGGGCTGCTGGAAAGAAGGCAAATTAGTCTCTTTGTTTAAAGCTATTTGCCATTCACATGCTCCTGTGCACTTCCCCTCTCTTCCCTGAAGCACAAGTGCTGTTTCCCCCTCCAGCACATGCTCAGCTCTTGTGGAAGCTGTGGAGTCTGCCTGAGAAAACCTTCTCTCTTGAGATTGTTTCCAGCCCAGCTGTGGGAATCTGAGTGCCTGGGACGGTTCAGATAAGCAAACAAACTTTGGAGCCTTCCCCAATCTGACGGCTTGAATGCTTTCAGCTAGTCCTATTGATGTTCGCAGTGAGCGCAGGCAGCAAACAAACAAACAGGTTCCCGCCCGCGGCAAGGAATGAACATGGGCAAAACAAAGCACCGAGGTGTGATCCCATTCTCATTGAAGTTGATGGCAAAACTCCCACTGGATTCAGCAGTGCAGGCTCAGCCCCAGACTGAGGTTGTTCCTGGATGGGTTCCTGGACCAGGTGGGTTAGTAGGAATCTTTGAAATGAAATCTGGAAACCTTTAGATGTTTTCCTGTCACTCCTGTGGGCTTGAGCACATCCTGCTACAGAGTCTGAAGAGGAGATAGGGTTATATCTATGAGCCAGGCACACGCAAGCCAGCTGGAGGAAGAGCAGCTCCCCTGCCCCCTCTATGGGCAACTGGCAAGGGGTGAAATGTGCAAAGGAGTATTTGACCACCCTATGCCCCTGTGCCTTCTTGCACAAAGGAGTTTAGGAATGAGCCTCATGCCCATTGCCTACAGTTTGCCAAAATCTCAACCTGTGCCTGGCCCCAGGTGAACAGGAAGGACGGGTGAGCAACTCTTCCATGGCCAGCCCTGCAGTTTGTCATCTTGCTTCCTCCCTGCAGGAGAGACACTTGGGGTAGGGAATTACATGCAACCTTGGGGCCTGAAAGCATTGATTTACCTCAGCCCTGTCTTGAGAACCAGTTCCTGCAAAACATGAAGGGTTGGGAGAACTCCTGCCCCACGCCTCAGCATACTCACTGGCCCTCTCCCTGGCTCCCCAGGCTCAGGAGCTCTGCCCATAGTGACAAGGCTTTGCCCTGTGTTTGTTCATTTGTTCTGTTCCCCTCATTTTGCTTTCCCTGAAAGAGGCAGTTGTAGCTCTGTTAACACTATTTTTGAAAGCTCTCATGCTGTGTGAGCTCAAATCCTTGCATTAATCTACTGCTGTGTTCATTTCACTGCACTGAAAAGCAGTGAGTTTAAATCCCCTCTAAACACCATTGGTGACACCAGAAGGCCAGTGTTTTGATCCAGCCCCATTAATGGTTACAAGTTTGAATCTAGACAGCAGGGGTCAAGGGCAGGAAAGGATTAGGAATCACAGCCCATGACATTAAGCTAGTGCTTTTGCCAAACGGAATATTGGAGCACCCAATGTACTGAGTTAGTTTTTGTTTCCTTTTTCTGACATTTGGATTCCACAGAGTGGGGAACAGTGTGATTTTTGTTTATAACATGATGAACTCACTATGAGTGAGCTTTACTCCTTGATTTATCACACAGGCTGACTAATGAGATTACTATGCCAGGTTGTACCATCTCACTTAGCAGCCACAGGTTTTACACTAGCCTTTTTCAGATGCAGCAGTGACTTAAATTAAGCCTGTTTTTTCACATATCTGCAGGCTTTGCTACACTGAATGAGATATAGAAGGTTTCCAGGGTCAACATCTGCTCCCGAGTAGTATCTGTTGCGTTTCCAAAATGTCACCAGCAGATGGAGGCAACAAGCAGCAGGCTCTGAAAAGCAAACTTCAAATAACATTTTTGAGAACGCAGATGAGGTCTGCACTCGGAGTGTTTTTTTATCTCACTTTTTATGCTGATGCTTCATTTAACAAATGGAATGGTTGGAAACCGAATTCTAAAACGATGACATTTTTACTGTCATAATAAACTGCATGTGGCTTTGATCCTAACGGGAAGAGCAGCACTGTAACCAAGGTGCAATATATGCTGGCTAGGCTGTAAGGGAAACTTCCTATCTGTGTGGCAGTGGGCACAGGCTGCAGTTTCCAGCCTGCTGCACAGACAGAGCTCTGCTTCTGTCCTGCAGCCACAGAGATTTCACTAATGAGAGGAATTTTCTCTGTGAGCCTGCAACCCCAGTGCCTTCATCCAGCAGCACTTGGCATCCTCTTTCTCTCTCTTCATCAATTAGGAAAGTTTAACTTTTGTCCTCTGGCTTGCTTGCCTCATTATCAGTTCATTAGCCACTTCCACCTGGGTTTTCATATAGGAAAGCATTTCCATTAGCACACACTGCCTTGCATACAGATAGAGAGTAACAAACCCAAGTGCTACCTTTCAGATCTACTCATATTGTTAAAAAAGCCAATCAGCCCTACTCAATCCCATCATTTTATGTCTATAGCATCACCATGAGACAATTAATTCAGTAGTTCATCCACTTTTTGGAAATACATCCAAATATTATTTATCTCTTACCTTTAAGGAGTACCTGTTTACATTGGTTTACAATTTTAGATTGGCTTAATCTTACAGTAGGGAAAATATTTACTGCTCTGTTCTTACCCTGTTCAACAAAGGGGCCTCAGCATTCTTTAAGGGTTTGTCTATATGGGGTCAGTCAGGAGATTAATCTGAACTGATTTAAAGTGGATTAGTTAACATTAAATCCTTGAGCAGAGACACACTGTTTTCTTACCCATATCTTCCATTTATAATCAAAGCTCTGTCTACTCAAAGTGGCAAGTTTGGCAGTCCTCACTCAAGCAGAATTCTCCACTGAGAGATGTGTTTGGACAGAGATAGCAGTAGTTGGCTCACTGGCTCTTACACTACCCCTTGTAGATAATTATTAATCTCCTTGTTATAATAAATGATAAATTTAAGTCAAGAGGCTTGTTCGAGACAGTGAAAACTCTTAATTCAGGTATTCCTCCCAGTTCCCAGTAAGCAAGCTGATGTTCCTATATGTAGTGAAAAGAAAATCCTATTTTCTCTTTGGAATGTTAATCCTGAAAATGCACTCCAAAATGCACAAAAAAAACCAGTGACATTTCACTTAGAGATCACTTAGATAAAACATTTTGCCCTGCTGTTATCAACTGAATGTGCACTTTTTAACTTTTATGTTAAACTCATTAAAGAATATTAACGTTAAAAGATTTCAGTAGAGCTAAAGAACAACCTTGACATTTTTATTAAATATTAAAGGAAATTGATATATTGTCATGGAATGTTTCCGTCTCACAAATTAGAATTTTCTGGCAGAAAGTTACGACATCTGAAAGATTTTGGCCAGCTCTGTGAAGGGGTAAAAATTTCTACCTCATACCAAAAAAATCTTATGGCTTTCCAAACCATTTTTTTTAAATTGTTTTTCTTCTATTCTGCCTGGAAACTTTACATCTCTACTCAATATGGACAATTTATTTCTACACTTTTATTACAGTCAAGGGGCAAAATAAAGGAAAGAGGATACAGAGAAAATGTTATTAGTGATCCAAGAGGAATTTTCTGCCAGAGTTAATCTTTGTGACTGATGTGGGAAGGGGCTATTCAAGATACTAATATATAACTTCTATATATTGCAATAGTTTCAGTGCTCTGGCACCTAAACTGTCATGAATTCCATCCCAGGTTATATTGCCATTTACTGCTTTAGCAATTACCTTAGTATTTGAGCGTAGGAGAACACTTCACTTGTGAACTGTTACTTACCCTGTGATAGACAGGTTTAACAACCTGCTTGCCTGGCTTAATGGTGAAAGATTGCTGCTGGAAAGGTTAAGTGCTGGAAGTTCAGTCATTTGCACTTTTACAAACTGTGCATCAAGTCAGACACTGAGTGACTGAGCCCCTGGGCCTGGCACTCTGGAAATGGCCACGCAGGCAAAGGCAGAGGGTACCCCTGCTTTGTCCACAGCCAGCAACTTCTGTCCCTGAATGATGTGGCTGATGCTTCTGGGCAGGAAGGGAGGGCAGATGCTCTCCGATGGTGCAGTGTAAGCCCCAGCCAAGCACCAAATCTACTGGCAACAGACCAGTGGCGCTTGCAGTCTGGTGGTCTTGCTGCCATGGGGAATGCTTGTCCAGTCTGGGCTGGAAGAGAGGTTGACACCACTCTTCCTGCTCATCTTCCCATGGCTAGAACACCGATCATCTCTGCTGTCAGAAATGGTACTCAGGAAAATGTTGCTGGGTAGAAATTACAGCCTTCCTAATGCAAGAAAATGTCTTTGTTGATCATTTCTAAGGAGAAATCTTCCACACTTAAGCCATTCACTCATATCTAAGCCTGAGAAAACTCATGCTTTGTGAGAAAACTCATGCTTTGTAAGAAAACATTTGAGGAATGTATTTGTCTACATTTTCCACAATGTTTAGAAACGTGTCCCTGAAAAATGGCACCACCACCACAGCCTTCCCAAAACAGCAAACTGCAAAGTTCCAATCTGGTAGAGATGTTTGAATCAGTAAGTACAAAGACTATATGAAAAAGGTTAATTTGATAATAAGCAACAAACTTAGCGAGGGATTGACAGCAAAAGCAGTGGACAAGAAGAGAGTGGGACCCAAGTGTCTTTGCTCTGTCCCACTCTTTTTGCCAGATCCATGCAGAAAAGCCCCATGTGTGTACAGGGCAACACACGAAGCTCAGCAGCTGCTTGGTAAGCCAAGACAATTGCTGGGGATTCAGGCCTCCAAACCTCTTTCTGCTTCCTTCGTGTCAAGGCTTTAGGGACTGATACTGCTTTTATTGAAGTCAAATCTAAGACTCACGGTAACAGAAGGGGGCCCAAGGCCTATATTCACAGATGTATGAAAGGAAAGGGCTACAGAGCTGGAACAGCCTTATTAACATCAATGCTGGTACTCGAGTCCTATAGGAATAATGTATATTTATAAATACTAAGATGACAGATTCTATAGGTCCCTTTGAAATTCTGAGCGCACGTTTTTTGAAAGGGCTCAAAGAATGGTTTGTGGCTTGATTTTCATTTAATCCTGTGATTGCATATTATACCTTCTAGAACTGGTTGCTTCCAGGAGACCTCAGAGACTCCGAGTCATCTGTGACAGGTAAGCCACCTATAACGGCAATGTCAGAATCGCCTCTGGGTTTATTTGTTTCTTTATGCAATCATTTAACTTGAAATGAGCTCTTTTGGCAAGCTCAGGAAGAGCAGGGTGGTTCTGAAGTAACAAGCAGATCTAACGTCAGTGAAGCAACTGATTTTGAGAGATCGCGGCAGAGGTAGGCACGTAGTGGGTTTACTATTCTCTGAGGAGTCGTGATTATTCTCAGATAAGCAGTGATTCAATGACATTACAAGGAGCTTTTTGCAGGGCACAGTTCAGGCCAGAGGGTCACACTTTCACAGGCCTTCTTGCCCGGACTGAAGACAGACTTCGCACTGTCCCAGTATTCATTTCTGGAAACAAATTGTAGGGATGTTGCTCAACAGTGGTAAAGAAGATGTGCTAGGACAGCATTTTCACAAGACAATGAAATAATCCTGTGATTAGTTAGGAGGGGAAAAATCATTCCTCAGTGGACAAAAGCTATAAGACTAGGGCCATGATTGGCTTGACCAGGCACACTAACATCACCCCATCACTCCCTAGTGTGCTAAGAGAGGGAATATTTTTCAAGCTTATATACATACACATGCATGCACATATACATAATGTATATATGTATCAGTGAAAGAAATTTCTAATCAGGCAAAGTGCCCTAAATAAAATCAGCCCCCGCTAGTACTAATTTTGAGGTACACAACAGGCTTTATAGATGTGTAAGAAAAGACTAGACAGAACTGTGTCCTCAGGATTGTGTTCATGCAGGTCAAGAATCAAATACTCTTTAAGGACGTAACCACATTTTTCACCACTGCTGTTTCTAATCTGTTCAGCTCATTGCTTGGGACCCAGCCTTGCTTGGGGGGAAGTGTGCTGGCCTGCAGAGCTGGGTTTCCCAGACACTGCTCTGAATGGCTGAACAACATGCTGCAGTTTTCAGCAAAGCACAGGTTGCTGAAATGCCAGCCATTGTCACACACATCTTCAGAAACACACCCCAATAACACAGGTCCTGGAACAGAACAAATCCTCTCTCAGCCTGAACAAAGAAATACTATGTTCCTTGCAAGTCTGCTGTGCTACACCTCTGCTTTTTAGCTATAATCCCCTGACAGGCCCCGTTACAGCCCCATACTGACAGGCTGGCCCAGCTCGTCTGCAGCAGAGCTCTGGGCTGCATGTGGGCCAGCTCCAACTCTGTGTTACAGAGTCCTTACACCAGTATGACCAAACGGCTGCCTTGGCATGCTTGGCTCTTGAGAAGGAAAGAACTGCTTCATACAGACCAACCAGCCATGACTCTCCATGGCCAATTAAGAAATTGAAGGGGAGCTCTGCACAGAGCTCAGCCACCACCAGCAAGCCTTGAGCCATGGTGGGAAGCACTGAACCACGTTGCTGCCCAGTGTAGGAGCCTGCCGCAGCAGGACAGAGTGGGCAGTAAGGGACAGCCTGATGTGCAGCTCTAGCAAGCAGCCTCTGGCTAGATGCTTTGGCTCCCTGTCCAGTCCCTGCTCCCCAAGGCAGCAGGAGCTCAAACTGTTTTGCTGGAGGTGAGAATTCAGCAGTTACTGACCACAGTGAGGCCAGATAGCTCTTATAAATCTGTTTCTCAGGATCTGTGGGTTTTCCTTTTTTTTTTTTTTTTACATTTTATCTCCCCAAAACAAAAATGTCAGCATGTCAAATGTTCTGTATAGGGAGGGGGAGTGCAGAGGCAGGGGGATCCCAGTGCCTGATGTCGCTTGGAGGGGAAGCACCAGTGGGGGCCAAGGGAGGAAGCACAACAGGCCGTGCTCTGATGGGCCTCCTGATGCTGAAACATGATCAGAACAAACAAACAAAGTAAAAGCTGTAAAACTAAATGACTATTTTTATTTGTTTCCTTGTTGGTTTGTTTTCTCTCTTCCACTTCCTCATCCCCAGCTGTGCGCTCCTCTAGAAAGCAGCCACTTGGCACTAGTATTTGCTGGGCATAGAGCATGTGTGTATTACATCTATTTTAAGCACTCATCCTGAGAAACACAATCATCTCCATGAATCCCAACATATTTTACAACCAGCTGCATGGCTGGTACTAGGGTAGGAAAAGGGGAAATGGCATTTTCTTCATTTTTTTTTTTTTAGTTTTGACCTCTGGTCTGCTCACTGGGCCAGTCAGGTTATTTTGTGCACTTGCACTGTCGCTCTAAACTGGTAACACCAACCTCTGATATTCCAGTTATGACATGTAAAATACAGTCTCCTCAGCAGCATTTTGCCTTTTACTTACAACCTTCTTTCTTCAAAATAACCATTTATTTTCAAAATTCCTCTGAAAACATGAGTATGTACTGAAATCCTGGATCCATATACGCCAATATAATCAAACTCACACGGAAAAGCAAATGTCCTAGAAAAATATACAGCTGGGGTTGGTTTGTCCTGCTCCCTCTATGTCCCTCCACTCTCCGTCTCAGGATCTGAGAAGGGCTGGGTCAAGTTCTCATTCCAGCTTTCTGGCTTCTGCCCATCTCCTATGCTTTTTTTGTCCTGTTTTCCTAGGCTGAGCAGGGTACCAGCAGCGGAGGATTTGGCCTCCAAGATGCTTACAGCCTTCCCCCGAGGCCGGATCTCTGCTCAAGATGCACTTCTTCACAGCTTCTTCAGCCCCCTACCTCCTCAACTCTATCAGGTTCCTGCTGGTAAGCTAACTCTCTATTTCAACTCACTAAGAGCTACTTCACATGCTATTTATTGTGAGTTTCTTCTGTACTTTGAAAGTCTCTGCCATTCACCTGGACATCTGTCTGTCCTCCCTCTCCACTCCCATATGCTGCAAAGTTTACGTCCCATTGCAAATTTGTCAGTTTCTTTTCTGTTTTCTTCCACTTGACCACCGTGTTAATACTACAAGGGGACCTGGATAGGCTGCCACCGTGGTACATTTAGAAAGCAAAGGTGTGTATACTTTGACAGCTCATTTCTCCCCCATTCTGTAACCCTAGGGGCCCAGAGCTTTCCCTCAGGCTGGTTCACACTGCGTATTCAGTGTAACTCACATGCTGGTCCCTCCTGATGTCCTGAATTCCCAGCTGCTCAGCATGATGTGCTAGCCCCAATTCCCTTGGACCGCTCCTCCTGCTCCCTTTTGATGTTCAGAGACAACAGCTGTTCCTCATACCCTGTTGCAACAGTCCTCCCTCAGTTTTACCTGCTTTATTTTCTTCTTCCCTTGCTCTCTTTTAAGCACACAGCTGCATACACACAGATCTGCCTCTCCTGCCCTGAGCTGACAATAAATACAGGGTCTCTCAAGCTACAGGTTCTGTTCCTCACTAGGAAAAGCTCTCTCTTATTGGGCAAAAGGCCAGAGAGCACTCACATTCCCTGTTACCTCCTGGGTACCCACTACACTAGTTAGTTTGGTGTGTTTTCTTAAGACAGGAGCAATTAAGAAGCCTTCTTGGAGTGTGTTGTCAAGCTATTTGAAAACCTAATTTCTGGTTCCTGTGACACATCCCAAGTGAAGGAGCAGCCAGCTAGCATCTCTCCCAGACTGCTGCCCTTCAGAAGGTGCTCTGTGTGTGTATGTGCATGAGTGAGAGACATCTGCATTCCTTTTCTGTTCACCCAGCCACAGAGCACAAATCTACTTTGACACTTTCAGAAAAATGAAAAGATGGAATCTCGCAGGAGCCTGCCTGTGCCGGGGGGGGGAGGAGGGGAGCACGCACAGCAGGAGGGAAGTTGACTTTTCTTTATACATATAGGGTTTTTTCCATGCAGAGTTTAAATTATGCCTGATAAAAGGAGTTTCGTGGATGTTTCAGTTCTTTCAAACCCTCCTGGCTTCCTCCCAATTAAATGAGGTTTGTCAAAGCCACAGGGCTCTGCTGCTGCCGGAGAGGCGGACAAGCACTTCCCGCAGTGACATCTCCAATCCCCAAGGGAGAAGATGAAAGTGTCAGTGCCAAGAGAGAGAGAGTGTGTGGAAAAAAACAGGTACAGAGACAAGACAGTGTGAGAGAAAGGGAGAAAGTGAGGAGAAATAGAAGGAATGAGAAAACAGATTGGCATAATGTGTCAATCTCTCCAACATGCTGGCAGAGAGGGGAGAAATTCATTTCACCTGGGTTTATGTACCAGCCCTTATTTATTATCCCCTACATTGCCGCAAGAAGTACCTTGTGGACAGGAAACTGCATGGCGTTATCATAGCAACCAATGTGTTGGGAGCAGAATCAAAGTGCACAGGGCTGAAAAAAAGTACAGTATGATCATGCAAGACCATATTCATGAGCGACTCATTAAGCCTGTAAAAATTAGGCAATTCTGAATAATTCCCCATGTAGCCATCCCTATTGCCATAACCGTGTAAGATGGTGGTTCTCTTCTGTCACTTTGGCATCACGCTATTTTGGAATTACACTGTATCATTTTAAAATTCTTGTTGCTATGATAACACCGTGCAGAATTTATATATATTCTGTTCCCACTTTGTTCTGGAGGATGCTGGCTATTAGTCCCCATCCTCTGAAGGAGAAAGTTAATGCAGAAGGGCAAAGAATGAGTGGGAGATGAAAGGTGAAAGGAGGAGGGGTTGATACCAAGGTGCATGAGAGAGTAAGGAGGAAACAACATTGGGAAAAATAAAAGGTTCCTGTAAGAAATTATTTTCTATTTTTATGAAATAATTTTATCCATAACTGTTCTTTTTATAAGTTGCTATCACAAGCAGGATGCTGGAGGATGTTTTTCAAAGGTCTATTCCTAGGAAAAAATAACTGAAGAAATCAATGTTTCAATAAGTACAAATGTCATGTTTCTGACTACTGAGGGGAATGCCAATGGATAGAGGCTGGGTGCTGCCCCTGGGAAGGACAAGAGGGAGCACAAGGCTCTTTGCTTCCCAATGGTCAGCTCCTGCAGAGGGGAACAGGTGTTGCTTATGCTGTTGCTTATGCTCATTTGGATGCTAAAATGCTAAAAACAAAAGAATAGTGCATGCTGTAAGAGACGAAGACTCTCTGTGGCCTGACTGGGGCTGGTCCGCAGAGGAGCCTCTCCTAAAGCTCTCACTCCTGTGCCTCTAGCATCAGAAGAGGCTGCTAAGGCCCAGGTTAAAACCCCACTCACCATTTTGGTGGCCTTAATTCTGCATGTGCCACCAGTACCTCTGGATATTGCAACAGAGGAGAGGAGCAGGGAAATCTCCAGCTTCCTTCCACTGTGGCTAGTAGCCTGAGGGGTGGCAGTGATAACCTTTCGTAAAACTGGAGCATTTGCTGTACTTTTTCTGGCCTAAGCCAATCCTGAGACAATTATCTTTGTGTAGTGCAGCCCCGCACTACAACAGCTCTGATAAAACTTCAGTCTAACCCTTTGCCACCTGCTAAAGCAGAATGTTTTCTGTCCAATTAATCACTCCTGGAAGAAAGATGAGATCCTTCAATCAAGAAAGCATGAGCTGTGCTCTCAACTCGGTGTCAGTCCTGAAGTGCAAAGGGCCTTCTGAGAAGGTATCTCACTGCTGTCAGGTCAGACACAGTAACAATTGCAGCTTATTATTGTTACTTATACATTTGGTTTATTCTGCGTCTCTTTTGCCCACAAATGCTTCAGAGTAGACTCGCAAGCAGGGAGGGTGAGCAGTGGGATTTGGGGTTAGCACCAGTAACCTTCCAAGAAAACATACTGCAAGAGCTCTGACCAAACAACTCAGGCACATTAGCCGGGGAGGTCTGAGCTGGCTCCTCAGATCTTATCCCCACTGGACTCATGTCCAGGCTCAGGACAGACCTTTCGCACAGTTCAGGAGATATTTGACTCCAGGCATACTATTGGCTTAGCAGCTAGTCATCAAGACCAGCTTGTGCTCTGTGAGGAGGATTGATTGTTGCATGGGTGCGATCCTGGCTTTGACTAGGAGGGACTTGCTGCTCTTTTTGGGTATGATTGGTCTCTGATCATTACCTGCTCCCAGCAGTTCAAAACCAGTGTGCCAGCTGGTGATGACACTGTACCATTTCTCCTGAAACAGCCTGCTATTCAGCTTTTCAGAGGCAGGAGGAGGGAGGCTTGGTGCTGACAGAGCACTGTCATCTTCATGCCTGTTGCATCTAAACCAATGCAAAGCAAGCATAAGCAATGAGGAGGTTAAGGCTGTAAGCCATTGCTTTCTAAAAATCCTATGTTGGAATACTGTTGGAATTAGCCAGTGCTGGTAGGTGTTATCACAGGGCACATACAAAGAAGAGATGACCTTCATGGACGTCTTGCTTGGGTTGGCTGGTTTTCTTAGGTTTTCTTGTATAGCTAAAAGGTTTATATAGTCACTTAAATATTTTTACCTCTATGCTTTGCCACCTCTGCATACAGCAAATGGATATCCTTCACTATATGAGATAGTATAAATCAGATATGGACACCTAGGAAGTTCCCACCAGATGTATGAATTCGTGTCTTAATAAGGGAGTAAACTACAGTTGGTGTTGAGCAGCAAATCAGCTGTCACTCCTGACCCAGAAACAGTCTTTTCTGTGAGGTGATAAAGCAAATCCTCACTTAACTCAGGAAAAACACCCTTCACTTCACCTGGCCTGATCTCCACAGTGGTGGAAGGTCTGCTTTAGTAAGTACTGACAGGGCACTGAGGTTTTGTATTCTGTCATTAAGCCACCACCCTGGGAAAGAGCCATTGCAACATCACAGCAGATGTGTGCCAAAGGCGCAGGCCTCTGGAGATGTTGCCCTGGTTAAGCTCATCCCTGGGCACTGGCCTGGAGCAGACCATGATGGGCCCTGTATAGAAGCACAGGGTGAAAGGGAAGATGGGAAAAGAAGGAAGGTTTCCTTTGCTCACTACCCAGCTCATGCTTTTGCAAAAGCACAACTGGTGCAAAGTTCGGCCGACATGACTTGTGAAAACAAAGTCCTACAGACATGGATCAAATGCTCTGACTCCTATTGATCTCAGGCCAGAGAATCTCTATAATGGTCTTATTGTTCAGGGAGATGAACTGCTCTTGGGAAGGAGTGGTGTTAATACCCTCATGGAGGCAGATGCTGTTGCATCAGAGGTTAGCAGATGTTTTTCTGTATTTTGTCTAATTGCAAGTTATATCTGAGGTTTCTATAACTTCCATTTTCCCTTTAATACTCTCAAATGCTAATCTGAGAAGATTTAGTTGTCTTGTTTGCTGTGAAAGACATCCAGACTGGAACTCTCGTGTAGCTGTTTCCCATCCTCAGGTGCACTTCTGCCTTCACCCAGTTATCAGCAGAAAAGAGCAAATGGGGATGTAGTGATGAAATTTCTAAGGCACAAAAGTTAAAGCTAAGTTTGAGATTGTGACAGCAAGCAACCATGAGCCTAGGAACTCAATTAGCCTGAAAGACAACTACCTCATTATCTATCCTAAAATGATATAAATACCTAAGAATATAAAAATTTAAAATAAACTCTCTATTGACTGTCTAGATGACTGAATTTCACTGCTCAATTTCTTTAAACACCCACTTTAGTATTTATTTATTCTAAGCGTGAAGCAGCTACGATAATTAGACTGTCAGATTTGGTAAGTTAATGAGGAGTCACTGGAGTGGAAGGTTTTGCATTTGTGAGATTGCTGAAGGAGAGAAGCTCCGTGCTTTCGCTCTATCTCTTTTTTCTTTCTCTTTTTTTCCCCTCCGCTGGGTGGGAAGGAGAGAGCTTGGCAGTGTGTAGATCCATTTGAATCCTTTTGATTAGCGGGTTGCATTCCTACCACTGTTCTACCAAACAGTATTTTGCTGGTTGCTCCAAGAAAAAGGAAAAAAAAAACAAACCTCCACATAGATGAGATTTCTAGAGAGGGTGCCTAGATTAAAGAAATCGTTTCCCAAAACAATCAGAAGGAGTGGAGCTGTGAGAAATAGGATCCTGAATGAGTTTATATTGTACCTAATGTCACAGAAGAACGCTAGGGAAGTAGCACAGTGAAGGAAAAGGACCATTTTGCAGCTTTTTCTTTAACCTGCTTTTTCCACAGGACAATCAGTGCTCACAGTTCCAGGAGTGAGACTGCAACCTGAAATCTGTGACCTCTTTGTTTCTTACCGAAAAAGCCATCTCTCACAAGGTTCAAGCAAGTTTTGGTAGAAGCAGAGACGATTAACTAACTCTTGGGTAAGCATGTAGTTGCCACTGCCAAAACTGCTCCCGTCATCCTTACGCACATGAATTCCTGTGTACTGAAGGTGGGAAAACAGAACTGATACCCAGGGCTGGATGACCACATCCCAGGCTGCGGACAAAGTGGGAAATCTCACATTCAGAGACAAGATATCAGCACGCCAATGGCCCACAATGCTTGGTGGTATCATGGGAAGTTTGGGTTTGTTTCATCATATTCCCAAGACTCAGATGGATGCCTCCTCTGATGCCTCCCCAGTCAAAATATTGCTTCATTTCTCCATTGCTTAAACTGACCAAATTGTTTTGTTTGCCTTTGTCCTTGTCTATTGAGTTCACATTTTATAGCTTACTTGTTTTGATTTCACACAGTGGAACCTGAGCAGATCTAGCCAAAATCTCCTTAGCTCATAACATCCTTGGTTTTAATTAATCACCATTTTAATATGACATACCTCAAAACAATGCTTCAGCATCAACATTTTTCATCTCCTGTTACAGATAGACCAAAAGATCACTTAAAATCATTATTATTGAAAGAAATTACTGGAAAATAACCTTTTGTTATATCCTGTGTCTTTGTTTACTTTGTGCATTTGTTAACAGCATGCATCCAGTCAGTCACTGCCTGGGTCTGTGCTTGCAGGGCAGACCTGGAAACTGATCTTGAGGCCAAATTAGTTTGACTGTCCAATTTTCTGTCAAGCCAAGAGGCAACCTAGCTGTGCTAACAGGGCAAACCTCAGCTACCTGTCCGTGCTTTCAGACGCATGTAGATGTACCTGCTACAGGACCAGGTCCCAGCACTCAGTGCCTGGTCTCACAGCCTCTCTCTACCCCATCTGCCCTCATCACGTAGACAACAGCAGGCAGACAGGACAGCCTCCAGTCCTTTCAAGAAGGACCTGACACTGCCAGTCCTGTGACCAGATTGGGTTTTAGAGGCAGCCTGAATACATTCCCCGCTCACCTGCTCAGCTAAGTGCAGACAGGGCAGCTGTTCCCTCTCTGTGATCACAGAGGAAATAATCCTGCCAAAAAAGCTGGTTGTCAGTTCCACTAAGGCTTCTGGGACAACTCACTTGATGAGGGCACTCACTCCTCACTTCAGTGAATTTGTATTTGACCAGTTTTAACTGGTTTTGAGAGTATTTCACAAATACATAATTTAAAATAGTGAAAGCATGAAAAGAGTTGGAGATACTCTTAAACATTTTTTTTTTTTTTTTAAATATAAACTTGGCCTCAAAGTGATTTTGTCCCTTTTTTATGCTGCTTAAAAAATGTACTAAACAAGCTTAAATGTCAGCTCAAGTTTTCTTCTGCACTTCATTATAGGAAAACATTCTGTAAGTGATGGTGTTCATGTTATTAATTCTTTTCTTAAAAAAGGCATCTGGATTCAGACATGCAAGCAAGGTTGCAAATGAAACAGTAATTTTTTTGTTGTTTTAATAGGCTACCAATGGAAAGCAGGGGGTTCTGTATGCTTTTTCAAATCTAATCAGAGGTAGATAGGCATCTAAAGCACAACAGCCTCATGCTGGCACATGAGGGAATGGAATTTCCTGGGAACATAATGAAACTGGCCAGCCTTCCTTCATTGGCCAACCTGAGTTAAGTTACAAAAATAGACAAAACCAAAAAATTAAACATACCAGGCTCCATCAGGAATCCACAGGCCCTGAGCAACACAGCAAGGAACAAAACATTGTCACAGTCTTCTCCTTGTTCTCCTTCTGGTTTCAGGAAGGAAGGAGAGTTCCAGGTGTCTCTCCAGGCAACGTACACTCCATGCCAACACTCCATCCATTTTCTATGCTATTCCACCTCTTTTCCTCTACCTGTTGAGGAGGAACATATGGATTGTTGGAATCTGCTTCCATTCTGATGCTGCCTTTCAAAATGCAGATAAATAATGCAGTATTTCTTATAGGTATGTGCTACTGTACTGGCCAAGTGTAGTTGAATATATGGAAAGATTAGAACTTGTTTAAACTGTTAATAAGCAAAGTAACTGAAGGCACTAGCCCTGCAGAATATTTGTAATCAGGATTTATTTTTCCTTTTGATTTAGGACTTAGGCCATGGATTTTTATCCTAAAAAAATTCCATTGCAACAGGGGCGGATTCTAGCCTCCTTGCAGCAAGGATCTTTGAAATAATTCTTAATGTTAACAAAATGAAGCAAAACCTTTGAGAGCACAAAAAAAAAAAAAAAAGGACAGAGTTTGCTTGGGGAGAAGGGAGTGTTTTTTAAAATCACCTTTCAGTAGAAAAGAATTAAATTGTGCAGATGTCCTGCCTTTTGTTTTTCAGAAAGCAATGTCAGAAAGATTGACTTGGCAACGAAGATGTAACAGCACAGCCTGGACACTAGGCTTGAAGAATAAACTCAATGATGTGACACTTAATAGAGAGATCCCTGGTCCAGAAGATCGATGTATAAACAGGACAGATGGGGACTGACAATTGAAAGAATGTAGAGGCTGATCCAAGGCTTACAGAGACCTGTCATTCCTGGGGTTTGCCTACAATCTCCTTCAACAAAAGAGCTCCTGAGGGAAGGAGGGGATTAGTCAAAAGTTGAGTGAAGTCTCCAGGGAAGATGGTTTCTTGGATAAAGTTGTCAACAAAGGAATTGTTGAAGACTATTTGTTATAATTTCCTAGAGGGAGCTTCTGCCATTACTAACAGGATTACCAGAATACTGGTTCCACACCAGCAGAGCATTAGACATGTGCATTGCAGACTGGTTGCTTAGAGCTGAATTCAGGGGTCTTCTTATACTGGGTCCCAAATGTGTGCAGGTGTTGATGAGCAGAGGGGAGATGGCAAAGAATTAAGATGCAGCCAAACACAGGCCATTTTCTGTCCAGCTGTTGCAGAAAGCCCTGGCTCATTAATGAGTTACCAGGGTAACTTCTTGATCTCAGGTCAGTTGAGGTACTATGAGAAGGAAAGCTAATCTGAGGTGAGTGCTGATGATGATACATGGGGAAATCAGAGAGCTCTTTCCCAACTACAGTTACTGTGTAATTTCTTATAGCATTCTTCCTGGAGTAATTAGGAAAGCAAACAACTTACTGTGTTCAAGTGCTAGTCGGCTTGGTTTCAGTTATCTGGGATACTTTTTCTGAGCTCTGGGACATCAGAAACCAGAACCCTTGGTGTAACCTCACAGCAGATCTGTGAAGAAGAGGAAGGCAAAGATAAATCCTTAAGGAGCAGGCATGCAAACTTTCTTGAATACTTTTTATTCATCTGAGTAGTGTCACTGGCATGACTGGGAGAACTTCTCTGAGCAAGAATTATGCAGAGCATTGAGGCACTGGAACAAAACCAGTCATGGAGCTATGGGGAAACACCAGGGAAATGGATGGCAGACATAGGAAGAGCTGGAAGGTGTCATTTCAGCGTAAGGGAGCTACACCTCCAGCCCCACCCCAGTTCAGTGTTTGTTAACCAAACACTACAGATCTGGGCACACTGTTTGTGTTCTCCTTTGCCCTTGCTATAGACATAATTGCAGGAACATACAGATTAGCTACATAAAAGAGCACACAGCATATCTGCAGGCACTGCTCAGTAAAGAGAACAAGAGGTATTCCTTATATTATGTGACAGTCCTTGAAGTTCTCTGCCTTGATGAGAAGGAAAGCTATGTCCCCAAGTCTTTCCACCTCTAGATTGCATGGACCCAGATCTCCCAAACATCAGCCACTGTCAAAGAGAGTGTGAATGCCTAACCTCCCTTTGCAATACTGAACAAAAATTTGTCCCAGGATTAGGAACTTCTGGTTTAATTTGCTGTACAGTGAATCTGGAATAATATTACAGTGACCTCACAGCAGTCTAAGCAAGGTCAGGCCAGAATATCCTATAGTGTTCTACTTAGGCATGTGTCTCTTTGTCAGCTTCCCATATGCAGGTTTATTTGTGGAGAGAAGGGCATTTGGAACCTTTTTGAAAGAAAAACAGTAATTCTTAAGCACACTGGCACTGGCTGTTGCATTGCAAAAGATTCTAAGAACTGGTACAATAAAGAAGCTTTTCCAAAGTGTCTGGCTGGCTCTGTAGGTAGAAGATAGCTCTCCATTTCTGAGTTATGCTGCATTGTCATATGTATGTTCAGAAAGGCTGTAAATGATGCCCAAGTTGGGATGGGGTGTCCTGCATTCCTCTGGCACTCTTGGAGATGGCTGGGCTAAGAGCAGTGAAGAAGTAGGATCTCTAATGCCTGCCATGGGCTGGATTTTTGCTCCTAAGTGGGAGCCACTAAATGCTTGAGATATGTTAAATGAAAGGATTAGTTATGCATGGGCAGTGAGGGATCTAATGATGGGACCTGAATCACTTTCCCTATGGTGTCTATCCAGAGCATCAGGTACAAATGTCTTCTGTCCTGGAGCAGCAAGGAGAATGGCTTTGCTCTTTTACATAGCTGCTACCCCATAGTGACCAAAATTCTTACACTAAATTGCCAAAGAGTCACATGATATATTCTAGCTCTGTTACATGGACGGGCAGAAAGCCAGCCATCCCTGGCAAAAGGATGTGCTGCAACCCAACACTCTTCATTAAATCAACACCGGAGGCCCAATGCCTTAAATATGCCAGATCGGAGAGAGAAATTGCCCTAGAACCACTCCTCTCCCAAACTAACAGGAGCACTATTCACATCAGGAGTTCTGATCTCAGTACATTTTCCATCCCCTGGCCTGTACAATCTCAGGGGCAACAAATGGACGTAGTGTTGTAATGAGTGAAGAAGACCAGGTAAAAAGAAACATCTGAACTCATGTACCAAGTTTATGCAACTCAAAAAGGTGGTCCTGCTTCCCTCATTTCCCTCTGTGCTTCAAACTTCACAGTCTTTTCCTCTTGCTCTCTGGCACTTTTCTAAGCCCTTGATTTAACTCACTAAACAGGTAGAAAGCTGTTAATTCTTTAGCTGAGTTAGCTTT